CTGTAAATCTTTACGGGAGCAGAAAGCCTCATCTTTCTCCCGCGGAACAGCTGGTAGTTTCGAACTGCTGACCTTGCAGCCCGCAGCCCGATTCAGTATATATGAGGGAAATAGGAAACTTCATGGAAAAAAGGAATTAAAAGATGATGGAATTTTTCCATAAGCCTTTTGAAGCATCCTTGTATATATGTTGTTGAGTGTTGTTGAGTTGGTTCTGACTCATACTAATCCTGTATAGGGTTTCTACAGAGCAGCTGCTATGTTTGGACCTTGCAGTTAGCAGTTCATTGTTGTACATTTGATCACAGTTTACAGACAAAGACAGACTAGGAATAAAAAAAAGGCGATTCTCTTCTGAGGTATTAACCAATGAAGACCTTATGAATAGCAGTGGGACTTTGCCAGAAGATGAAACTGTCAGGTTGGAAGACACTCAAAATACAATGGGAAAGAGCTGCTTCCTCAAAGTAGTTGTTGTTGTTGTTAAGTGCCATCGAGTCGATTCTTACCCGTAGCGTACCTGTATAGGGTTTCCAAGGAGCAGCTGGTGAGATTGAACCACCAACCTTGTAATTCAAGTGATTTTTGCTGTCTGATGCATCGCCCACAGCACCACACCAGGACTCCCTAGTAGAGTCAACCTTAATTATGAAGGTGGATGGAGCTAAGTTTTTGGAATCCTCATTTGTAGATGGGACCCATCCCTAAATGAGAAGAAACAGCTGCAAATGTCTATAAATAATCAGAACATAAATGTACAATGTGAATCTTAGAAAGTTGAAAGTCAAATGTGAAATGAAATGCATAAAAGATCAATATCTTAAGAATTTCAGTTAGCATGGACAGGTATTGGCCATTTTGAAATGGATGATCATATGGTTTACTATGCTAGGAATGACAGATTCAAGAGGAGTGGTGTCACACTCATCATCAAAAAGAACATTTCAAAATATATCTTGGAACCCACTTGACCTGGCTTCAATGACTGGATGATCAGAGCTCAACTAGGAGAAAGAAGAGGAAAAAAAGAGTAATCTGATACAATTTGATGAACTTAACCTACACCTGTGGATATAGTAGCTCAAAAGAGGGAACAAATCTTTACAGCAAGGATCATTCCCACCCCCTCCGTACACAGACTAGGCAGGGATGGACAACTTGGACATTGGCTACCTAAAATGAGGGGGCTACAAAGGCAAGAAGTGACTGGTTTACAAGCTTTCAAGAGGGAACCTAGATTCAAAGGGTGTGGAGGAAGGTAGAATCTCCAGTGAGTAGTATCCAATCTGTCTAGGCAGGGCTGATGAAATGTGGATAGGTCTCTTGTGATATAATAGTGAATAATTGTTATCAGGACTGATTTTGAGGGTTGGAAATGTAAAGGCAGATGTTTTGTAGCAAGGAGGGGAGTGATTAACTTTGCAGTCTAGAAGCGGAGGTCCCTGGGACCATTAAGGGAGAAGAGCTGAGAGCGGGACCCTACCCAGAGAAGCAGTGATGCC